TGTGTGTGTGTGTGTGTGTGTGTGTGTGTGTGTGTGTGTGTGTGTGTATTTGTGCACGTGTGAGTGCAGGTGTCTGAAGAGGGTGTTGGGTTCCCGGAAGCTGGAGTTTTTGGTGGTTGTAGACCACCTGAGATAGATGCCATTACCCAAACTCTGGTCTTCGCCATAAGTGGAACTTGCTTTTCACTGATAAGTCACTTCTTCTACTCCAAGCTACCTAATATTTCTCATTGTTTTTGCAGGAAAGACAGGCACTTTTTGAAATCAAAGGGTTGGGTTTATCTTTCAACCAAGGGGCATAGTAAAGATTGTTCTGGACATGTCAGAGAATCTTGGGAGAAGTTGGGAACCTTCTGCCATAGTCTGAAACAGCCCTGGTGGACTAACGAAGTTCCAACATTATCCTCAGCTTAGATAAATGCTATCCAAGTTTCTTGTAGGCTATAGTCTCTGACCTGCCTGTCCTTAGATAATTTCCATTAGAAAACATTCAACTATGAATTATCTCTTGGTCCCTTTTAGAAATAAATCTTCTGCAACCTCTTCCCAGTTTCCTGGCCCAGGAAGCATTCTGGAAGATGGGGCCTTTGAGATGCGGGGATGCAAGACTCAGGGATAGAACCTGTATTTCCTATCTCTATAGGAAGATAGGAATCTAAATTAATTTCCATAAATACTGAATGGCAAACACATGTGACATGATCACTTTGACAATCACCTCAATCATTTATTGAGGAACTAAATCCTCAATAAATTGTCTGGACTTGAGTCAGGATGGAAAGACAGGAGAAAGTAAGGGACCCTGGAAGGAAAGAAGCCCCTTGTCCTTAAAATTGGTGTTATTTTCTGCTGATTGAGAGACAAGAAACTCCAACACAACGGACACAATCAGAATTTCATACAGAGGGCCAGCAAGTTGGCTCAGAAGCTGGAGCACTTGCTGCCAAGGCTGACGACCTCAGTTTCATCCCCCGGGATCCACATGGTAGAAGAGATTTGACTCTTTCAAGCTGTCTTCAGTCCTCCACGTGAGCAACATAGACTCGTGCACTCTTTAATTGCTTCAGGTATCCTATTTGTCCTTCTAAATGAGAATTAAGCATTCTCCATAGGGTCCTCCTTGTTATTTGGCTTCATTAGGTGTGTGGGTTTTAGTGTGGTTATCCTGTATTACATGGCTAATATCTGCTATATTCCATGTGTACCACTCTGATTCTGGTTACTTCACTCAGGATGATCTTTCCTAGTTCCATCCATTACCCTGCAAATTTCATTATTTCTCTGTTTTTAATAGCTGAGTAGCGTTCCATTGTGTAAATGTACCACAATTTCTGTATCCATTCTTTGGCTGAGGGATAGCTAGGTTGATTTCAGATTCTGGCTGTTATGAATAAAAGTTCTATGAACACAGCTGAGTATCTTTTGGGTATACTCCCAGAAGTTATAGCTGGGTCTTGAGGTAGCACTATTCCCAATTTTCTGAGAAAGTGTCAGACTGATTTCCAAAGAAGTTGTACAAGTTTGCAGATGGAGCTTACCATAGATGTCCTTTGAAAAACTCCACCCAGCAGGGGATCAAAGCAGATTCTGAGACTTATAACCAAACTTTAGGCTGAGTGCAGGGAATCTTATGGAAGAGTGGGGCAACAAAGAGACATAGAGGGGATAGGAGCACCACAAGGAGACCAACAAAACCAATATATCTGGGCCCAGGGGGTCCTGCAGAGATTGATGCACCAACCAAGGACAATGCATGGAGAGGATCTAGACTCCCTGCTCAGATGTAGCTGATAGGCAGCTCAGTCTCCCTGTGGGTTCCCTAGTAAGGGGAGCAGAAGCCATCTCTGACATGGACTCTGCTGCCTGCTCTTTGATCACTTCCCCCTGGTAGGGTGACCTTGCCAGGCCACAGAGGAAGAGGATCCAGGAAGTCCTGCTGAGACTTGATAAGCTGGGGTCAGATGTAGGGGAGGAGGGCTATACCTTCCTGTGGACTAGGAGAGGGGATAAGGGGGAAGAAAGAGAGTGAGAGGGTGGGACTGGGAGGAAATGAGGGAGGGGGCTACAATCTGGATATACAATGAATAAATTATAAATATATATTTTTTAAATTCTATAATGCTTATTTTCACAAATGGTCAAAACTCTAGATTTACCTAATTGGAGGTCCCTAAGGTAGGGATTCCTAGGCTACTCTTGGCAGTGCTGGGCTCTGTCTCCCCATTGCAGCTGCTATCACATGTTTTAAAAATTCTGTATGTGTGTGGTCCGTGTGATGTGTGCACATGGTATATGTGTGTGTTTGTCTGTAAATGCAAATGCACATCTGTGCAGGTATGTGTGGAGACCAAACAGTGACATGGGGTCTTTATTTTTGGAGGTCGCATCTTTGTTTTTGCGAGACAGGGTCTCTGACATAACCCAGGTTCATCAACTGGGCTAGACTGGCTAGCAAATGAGCCTCAGGGGTCAGCTTGACTTTGACCCCACCCCCACCCCCGAAACCAAATGCTGAGGTCACAGAGGTACGCACTATGCCTGGCCCTTTACAGAAGTGCTGTGGATCTGAGCTAAGTCCTCATGCAAGTGAGGTAACTGCTTTGTAGACTGAGTCATCTTTCCATGCCTAACATCACTTTTTTAATGAAAATGTCAGTGATATCTTTTGGTTTAGAGGCACTATTGGGACAATTTCCTTAACACAGGTAAAGTGCCATGAACAAAAGACATTGTGAACTTCTGGTTTAGCTGATCAGACTACCAATGCCTTTCAGAGTTTAGAATGAATAATATATTAAGAACAAGGCTTCCAATGCTCTCATCCATTTTCAATTAAATAAAAAATAAAAACCACAGAGACTGCCAGAACATATTTGTGATGGGCTTTCTGCCTCCTCTTTATCAGAGCTGAAGAGGGAACTTGATGTTTTGCTTATAGGCTTTTTCCAATGTTAACTGAAAATAGTGTTATTGATTTTTTTTTTCCTTGATTAAAAAATAGATGTCCACTGCTCACGGGACGAAACAATCCACAACAGAAAAAGAGAGGTCACCTGTAGTCTCAGAATCTAAAAAAAAAAAAAAAAAAAAAAAAAAAAATCCCCCAAAAAAAAAACACCTGGGTACAAAAAAAAAAAGCTTTTGTGGGGGGGGGAGTGTGGGGGTTTTGTGATACAGGGTCTCATTCTGGAGCTCTAGCTGCCCTGGAACTCACTCTGTAGACCAGGCTGGCCTCCAACTCACAGAGATCCACTGCTTCTGTATCCCCCTCAGTTCTTGTGCCACTGGACCTAGCACATGGACACAATCTTAAAGCAAATCGTCTTTGTAATTTGCTCTTAGGGGATCCAAAAACAAAGAATGTGTATCTACCTCTGCACCCATTAACTTCACACATGTTTTAGTATTCTTACAGATTTGGAGGAACCCATTCGACACACTGTCATAATTTATTTTTTTAAGTATTTTAACTTAATGACAATCTAGTAAAAATTAAAGAACATTTAAAAGTATTAAAACAGTAGCCATCTTAGCTTATAATCAAATCAGAAAAGGAGAGAGGTGAACTTTCCGTAAGAGGTCTCAACACTGTTGGTGCATGGGTTGTTCCCTTTGACCTTCATCCAAATGCTAACTGACCCCCTTTACTGTCCTCAATGCACACTCATCAGATGAGGCTTTTCACATTTGCAAGTAAAACGTGAAAGACTGAACTGTGACTTTTCCCTAAATTCATTAGATGACGATGTTCGCCATCTTGTAATCTATGGGAATCTGCGCTGCATGGCAGGGCTCTTGTTCTCACCAAGGGCTCAGAACAATCGCACTGTACACTTCTCCGTTTGCCAGCCATTCCCATGCTACCTAAAAACAATCCGTCAGCCCATTTTCTCATCCTTCTAAATCTTTCTCCTCGACATTTCCACCACTATTTTCATTGCATGTGACTTTGAACAAACACATCCATCAACATACCCAAACCTGAAGTGACAGGCAAAATTTTCATTTAGCCAGATTCTCTGTCCAGCACAATTTCAATTTCAAAGGCTTTCATGGGATATAATGCTTGGCTGGAGTGAATGATATTGAATTTAGATCTAGAACATTATCACATTCAAGGGAACTAAACATTAACTACCTGTAGGTCTCACGTCCTCAGAACAATAACTAATAAAAACCCTCACCTCGTACAACCCACTCACCAATCTACTCCCCATAAACCATACTTTCTGTGCCACAAGAGATAGAACGATTATCACCAAAGCCAAAGAATAAAACCACACGAGAGCACAGAGAAGCTCTATGGGCTTATGGGCTTCCACGGAAAAGAGGAGTGCATTAGCACAGGACTATGGAGAGAAACTCATTCACTGAGAGGGACCAGATGAGCCTAGCTGGAAGAACACTTGGGGTGACAGGCCAACAATCGGCCATTGCCTATGAATCCCAAAGCATGGAGCTGGTAAAGCAAGGAAGTAGGTGCTGGGTGACTGAGGTCACACTGATGGATCTGTGAACACATTCTCCTAGTTCTTATAAGAAATCTCTGTAGCCTGATGTCATCTGAGACTACACATACAGCTGGGTATGGAGGCTAATGCCTGTAATCCCAGCACTTAGTGAAGCTGAGACAGGAGGACCTCTGTGAGGTCAAGGCCAGCCTGGTCTACAAAGTGAAGCAAGTCCAGGACAGCCAGGCTACACAGAGAAACTCTGTATTGAAAACCAAAGAAAGAGACAGACAGTCAGACAGACAGACAGACAGACTAATCATATACCTACCACTCACAGATGATAGGTTGTGTCAATGGCTGGGATAGTGACTTTTACTGGTCTCTTGATATTCTTAAAGATTTGGAAAGGTCTAGGCACCTTAATAGTGCTTAAATGCTCACACCTGCAACCTAGAAGAGCCTTCTCCAGATTGGGGACAAGGATAGCTGCTAATCCTGTCGTTCTGCCCTTGTCCCTTGGCCTTCAGAGTCTCTGGACTTAGGGTGACCCTGCTTCATGTCCTCAGAGGATGAAGAAATCACTTCCAGAAGAGAGTGTACTGGGTGACTGTGTAAGGAAGACATGTGTATGTGAAAAGCAGGAAGATGGCTTATTGACTGGGTGTGAGAATGGTACAAGCACATGTAAATGTGCATGTGTAAAGCAGTGTGAGGGTTGTGTGAGTGTGTGAGGAGCTTTAGTCATGTGACTGAGAATGAATGTGTGTGTGTGAGAGAGAGGGGGAGAGAGAGAAAGAAAGAGAGTGGAAAGACCGTAAAAGTTTAAAGTGCAAGCATGAAGAGCCATGTATCTATGAGTGGATAGCTGTGTCTTTGTATGGCTTTATGTATAACTTCAATCCTACTTAAACTCAGTTACACTTTTTTATAATTTTTAAAAATTTTTATAATTTACTTTATATCCAGATTGCAGCCCTCTCCGAGTCCTACCCTTCCTCCTTCTTCTCCCCATCCTCCTCCCCTAGTCCACAGAAAGGAGGAGCCCTCCTTTCCTACCATCTGACCCTAGCCCAAGTCTTATCAGGACTGCCTGCATCCTCTTCCTCTGTGGCCTGGCAAGGCCGCCTCACCAGGGGGAAGTGATCAAAGAGCAGGGAACAGAGTCCATGTCAGAGATAAACCCTGCTGCACTTACTAGGGAACCTACATGAAGACCGAGCTGCCTATCAGCTATATCTGAACAGAGAGTCTAGGTCCCCTCCATGCCTGGTCCTTGGTTGGTGTATCAGTCTCTGCAGGACTGCCTGGGCCCAGATTTGTTGGATTTTTTTGGCCTTGTTGGTCTCCTTGTAGAGTCCCTGTCCCCTCTGGGTCTTCTATCCCTCATTCCTCCATAAAACTCCCTGCACACTACCCAAAGTTTGGTTATGAGTCTCAGCATCTGCTTCAAAAACTCAAGTGACAGCACATGTTGGTGAGGATGTGGAGAAAGGGGAACCCTCCTCTATTGCTGGTGGGAGTGCAAACTTGTACAACCACTCTGGAGTTCGCACTTTCTCAGAAAATTGGAAATAGCACTACCCAGTGACCACTCCTGGGCATATACCCAGAAGGCATTCTGTTATACAACAAGGACATTTGCTCAACTACGTTCATAGAAGCTTTATTCATAATAGCCAGAATCTGGAAACAACCCAGATGTCCCTCAACTGAGGAATGGATACAGAAATTATGGTACCTCTACACAATAGAATACTACTTAGCTATTAAAAACAAGGAAATCATGAAATTTGCAAGCAAATGGGTGGCACTAGAAAAGATCATCCTGAGTGAGGTAACCCAGAACCAGAAAGACATGCATGGAATATACTCAGTTACAAGCAGATATTAGCCATATAATACAGGATAACCATACTGAAATCCACAGACCTAATGAAGCTAAATAACAAGGAGGACCCTAAGGAGGATGCTTAATTCTCATTCAGAAGAGCACATAGAATAGACACTGGGAGAGGTTGAAGAAGGGGGAACAGGACAAGAGCCTACCATAGATGTCCTCTGAAAAACGACATCCAGGTACACTTTTTTAAAAAGCAAAACAAAACAAAAAAAAAGGTTGTACTGTACTAAGTTTCTGACAATTTTTAATGTTAACACATATTTTAAATTATAATTTATTAAACCATTAAATGATCTATTTGTTATGTGTGGGTGAAAGATTCACCACTCATAATGCTAATGTGCACCCACAATTCTGCCTGCCATGGAAGGGATGCAATTCTGACTTCCTGGCTTTCATGGGCTCCATGTCTTCTTAGCCAACTTAACCTCTCCATGCATCGAGTTTCCTATTTCTCACACTGTCATTGTCAAGAGTTTGGGAGGGTAGATTCAAACACCTATAAGCATTATACGCTTAGTTCGGGGTCTGGTGTACAGGTTTAAAACAGCAATGGCATGACATTCCATCAAACTCGGTAATTAAAATTTGCAGCCATGGTTTCAAAGCACGGCTGGTGTGATTTCTTCACTGCAGCTGCCCAGGCCTACCTACAGTTTTTAATTATTACTAACTGTTGGTTATGTCGAAAGTTTCCCATGCTCTACAATTAACTCTTGACTCCTGCCTTGCCATGCCCTGTGCCCATGCTCCTGCTGAGTTTCTATGGTCATGCGCAAACCTTGATCAATACAATGCCCCAAGCGTTCCTAGGGAAGTGATTCTCCTGCTCCCACATAGAAGACAGTAACAAGCTGTGATGGTGAACACTAGATTAGGTACAAGTCATGATTCCCTGCCTCTGGATAGCTCCAAATGTCGGGGTTACCAAAGCCAGCTTGATAACTCACACGGGTCCCTGATTTACTAGTACCTAATGCCACTTTAACTATTTGGGTGACATAGTGTATTGAGTTTATTGAAATAGATTTGGTACATTTATGACCATCTAGAACTATAGCAGGGCAGGAAAAAATGGCCCAGTGGTTAAACTGCTTTCTGCAAAAGCAAGATGACCTGAGCTCAGAGTATCATAACCTATATGGGTACAACATGGTAGCATGTCAGGAAACCCATGCAGAAGCTTCAGAGGTGGAGACAAGAGAGTCCCTGAAGGCTCATAGTCCAGATAGAAAGAGACCCTGTCTAAAACAAGGTAGAAGGGATACCCTGATTGTCCCCAAACCTCCACGTACATATCATGGCATAAGTATGAGCTCATACTCACAAACACACACATACATATTTATACACATGCACACACACATAATTTAAAAAATAAAACTATAATAACATGAGTTTAGTAAATTTTAGCATGTTTATATCTAATTAACACTGTCACATATATTGTATCTATCTTTAATATTATTTTTTGAAATGTGTTCTATAAAGCAGTTGCTACATTTGCTCATATTTAATGTAGATACAGTTCATTTCTGGTGTAACAGCAGAGATTTTATACACACACACACACACACACACATATATATATATATTTGTTATCAACTTTTTTAATAGGTCAATGGGGAGATGTCAGGTTGTCCTTACCTGTCTGAGATACCACATGAGTCTATCTGAAGGTCACTGAAGTTACCAAGGGACCCCTGCTGGACTGCAATCAGATCCACCATTTTGTTGTTGATGGAGATGAGTCTCATACATCCTTGAAACCCACCTAGTGGGCTCTTACACTTGGATCCAAAGCTTTTGTCTGGACAACCTGATAAGAGCAAACCAAAGTAAAGCCATAGAGCCTGATAGAAAATCAGTATTTGAGATCACAGCAGAATTTATAAAGAAAAAAATAAATAAATAAAACTGACATTTGATTATCCCCTGCATTAGAGAAGAAAAATAAGCCCACTGGAATCATTATTATTTTCATCTAAATTCATGTGAAGTGTTTTCTTTATTTCTATAGAATTCAAAAGAAGTCTCTAGAGTTGTAATAATTGCGTGCACCAATTTAGTTTGATCTAAATTTAGAAGTTCAGCTATTGGCTCCAAAATCTCAAACATGCCAGCCAACAATGTCAAGTCTTCTATAACTTAAGCAGGAAACTTAGTCTTTAGAATGGAAAACTCAAAACATAAACTAGAATAAGTGTGCACTGAAGACAAGAAAAGATAAATCGATAATAATGAAATGCCTTTGTACTTAAAGCCAACTATCTGAGAAAGAAGATATATTGACCTGGAATAAAATTACTAACTCTTTATTTGATTAAATACTTTATTTCCTTATACATGTAAGAACAATATATATATATATATATATATATATATATATTTGACAAATACAAATAGCTAAATGTCAAAAATATTTCACTCTTTGATTTTATTTGTTCCTTGGCTCAGGAAAGAATGTTCTCTTTATGCTGATTTTTTTTCTAACATTTAGGATTTGTTCTCATTATTTAAATAACAAATATAATATTAACCATTACTGTCTGGGTTTAATGATGTTCTAAATGTTTATTCAAGTGAAGTAAATAATTTTATGGCGTATGAGCACATATATTTCACTTACATATTTTCCATCAATCTTTCTTTGCTGCTACGCCTGTCAGCCACCACTACAATTTCACAGAATTAGAAGGGAAGCAGAAACTCCTTAATTCCTCTATGCTAGTTTTCCACCTGGAAATTTCCATTACAATTCAATATTTTCACCAAGAATACTTCTTTTTAATGCTTTCTTTTCCCAGAAAAAAAAAAAAAACATTTCCATGACAAGTCAAGGCCAGCATTACCTAAAACTATTAGCAGGCATTGTGAAATATGTTATTTTGATTTTAATGGAAATTTCAAAGTTTCAAATTTACTGTATCAACAAAAGGCAATTACAGCTTTTTGGGTAGTGATTTGAGGTACATAATGATGTAGACATTTCCAGTAATTAAAATTATTCTGGACCGTAGTATATTGTTGTATAACTATATCCTTCAATGGAAACACTTCCTTGAGAGCAGAGGGAGGCTCACAAGACTCATCAATCAGGCAAAGTTGTTAGACCTCTCCCTCCCCCAGCTCATGTAAGCGGTAAGGAAATTGCCAGGGAGAGGAGGTTCTGGTGGTGCTGCTGTGATGTTGTGGAGGGGATTCAGGAAACACAGCTTCCGGGGGTCATCCATGTTGGGGTAAGAATCGTGATCCACCCACGTTCCTGTAAGGAGCCCCAGTCAACCTCACTGGCTCAGGAACCACACTTAGATTTGAATCATTTCTTTGGCCTATTGTAGATGCCCTATTGGGAGCAAAGGGACATTTCCTCGCTTTTCCCAGGAGGAGCCACACAGCATACATGGTTATCACAACCTCCAGAAGATGACCTTAACTGGGTACAATTAAGAACGGCAAAATAAAGAGAGGGTAATAGTTCAAGGACACTTGATAGTTCTCGTACACCAGGAATGGAAACAATTTGGCTACTCTCTTCCATGTCTGGTGTTGCCCAACGCATCCCAAAGTATTTCAGAAGCAAACAAGACAAAGCAAACTGAATCACAAAGAAAGATAATAAAGCAACTGTAGAAAAACCCAAGAGTCACATCATGGGTACTTCATATACCTGAATACAATGCCCATGAAGCGAGAAATTCCAAGCGCAAAGAAGGGTTTGACCAGGTTATGGGTTAATATAATACAATACGTCGGAGAAGTCGAACACTGAACCCACTCAAGATGAAAGTTCTAAAGTAGGAAGATTGCTGGAGAATTTTCAATGCTGAATTGATGGATGGATCCATTAACCAGAGGCAGTCATGGCGTTAAATACCTCTGGAGAGGACACATAAATTACCACTGGTGCTGCCGTTCCAGAAGCGAGATGCCAGTTCATGCTGGTGTAGCCTGGCCCTGTGATACCTGAGGCGTGCTTTCCACAGGGAGCTTGATGTGAGTGTTCTGTACCTCAGTTAACATCTCCAGTTTGCGATGCATGCTGTGCTATCGTTCAGAAAGATTCCAGAAGGGAATTTACAGAAATTAGACACTGGGCTACCCTCCGTGTAGAACTAAGATTTAAAATGTATGGCTTATAAATGATCGAAGCTGAGAGCCGTCCCACAGTGTTCTCTGGGTTCTTGAAACACACTCATTCGAAAGAAGAAAGGTGAAGAGAAAAGAGAGGAAGGTGATAGATAAATAGTGGATGTTTTGTGTGGCATATGGAGCGCTCCAACCAGACACCCAGCTGGACAGGCACTCTGAAGACTGTAGAGTGGGGACAGAGTCCATGCCATAGGGGCCGAAGAACCCTGGACAGCAGAGTATGACAACTAGTTCAGCAGAACTGGATTGTGACACCATCACTTTGAACTTGCAGCTGGATTTGAAGAAAAGCAAAAGAGAGGTTATGCACTCTGAGAAGTTTCTCAGAACATGGGAATTTTCTTTTTAATTTTGAATATAAACTGGTAAAGAATTAACCCCATCAAAACTGTGTTTTGTCTAGATAATAAGACCTAATATTAAAGGGAACCCTGTCCACGTAGGACGAGAGGTTTCGATGATGACTGATGGTGACATGATGTTGGGGAGGGACACAGAACTTACTGCATCTTAGGAACACCTACCTCACGTCTTCTCCAAACATGCTCTTGCCAGCAATCCCCAAAGCTTTCCAGGAAAGATGTGTTGCCCACTTGGAACCATCTCCCTTGAATTTCCTGGGCCACAGCATTCCTACTCCCCAAATCTAAATAAGTCTGCTTTCTGAACTGAACTTATCAACCAGGCTCTGCAAGCGTGAAGCCAATCTCTGAAAATGTCGGTATAGCCAAGACCTTACATGACATTTATTAAAGGGACTTGGGGTTGGGATTTTACTGTGGAAGCTCTATAGCATACATTTGTAGGAATATAATAAATGGTTATGAATTTACAAAGAACAGGAAACTTAAAAATGAACTCTAAAATCCAGGTAGTGGTCATCTGGGGACAATCCTAGAGTGAACAATCCTAGAGTGCATGATAAACTTAGTCCTTTTAAAGCAAAAGTCAGCATGAGAAGATGTATCGTACAGAGGGATTGGGAGATGCCCTGTGGGTAAGAATGCTTGTATAACAATGAGAAATTGAGTTAAAATCCCCAGAAGCCAAATTAAAAATCTTGGCATGACAATACACATGCCTTTTACCCAAGCACTATGGAAGGTGGAGATGTTCAGATCACTGGAGCTTGCTGGGTGACAGCCTGTTTCAAGGTTCAATGACAGTAAGTAAGAAAGTGATAAGACAGGATCCCTGACATCCTTCTTTGTCCTCCACACATACACCAGCGGGTACCTGCCCCTGTACACATGGGGGGGGGGCTTGCTTAGGGGATGGAATATGGACAACGTATTCACCCATGCATGTACACAAATACACGAAAAGTCATTGGTATCCCTTAAAATGTATATATGATCTGAAACATGGACAATAAGGGAAATGAGGTATGGTGTACACAGTAAAGCTCAGTGCAACCTTGCAATATTTCAGTAAATCTTGGCATATCCAGACCATTTGGAATAGTATGGATTGTAATGTGTATCATAATAAACAAAAATGACTGCATGCATACTTCACTCAGAAATATTACAGTGTGAATAAACACAATAGCTAGAGAAAATGCATGAAATAGCCAACTGTTACTAAATTTAAACATAAAGGACATAAAATGCTGTAAGAAAGATAATTCTATTTTCATGATTTATTAACAGTTTTATCCAAGCTTCTATTTTTATTCTAGCTTTAACAATAAGCTTCGTGTTAGGATTTTTTTCCTCATCTCTTTCACCATTCTAAATGTTTTCCTTTGGATTGAAAGCTCTGGGCTAGCTTTTACTATATACCTTGCTATTGACCAAAAGACTACATTCCTATAAGTTTCCATGAAACCTGTCCTGTATTTTTAAAGCAGTTTAGTCCAGAATCAAACAAATCTCACTCTGGGAAGCAATGATATCATTTAAAATTGTATCCTTCTTCTGCTTTGGAATAGTGGATTATACAGGTTTTGATTATGTAAGGTTTTGTTTTTAATTATGTAAACGCGTGTTGCTGTGTGGATGTGTGGATGTGAGCACAGGTACCTGCAGAAGTCAGAGGAGGGTGTCAGATTCCACGAGCTAGAGATACAGGGGGTGTGAGCCACCTTCTGGGCGTTGCCAACTATCCCATGTCCTTAGCAAGTGCTCTGACCCACTGAGAAATCCCTCCAGCTACCTGTTTTTGTTTTCCTTGTTTCACTTTGTTTTGTTTTGTTCTTTAATTTGCATTTAACCTCTGGTAAACTGGTCAGTGTCTTTATAACAATTTGTAGAAAATAACTTACGTTTTATTGATAATTAAGATAGGAAATCATTCTGCCTATTAAAATCTGATTCTAGAATCAGTTATTGTTTTTCAAGATTTACTTCATTTTCATAACCGGTATTGTGTGCGTGCGTGCGTGCATGCGCGTGTGTGTGTGTGTGTGTGTGTGTGTGTGTGTGTGTGTGTGTGTGTGT